GTGACACCTCTCTGTAGCAGTGACACCTGTCTGCTGGTGACATCTGTCTGTGCCAGTGACACCTATTTGTGCCGGTGACACTTGTCTCTGCTGGTGACACCTGCCTGTCTCAGTGACAGCCATCTGTGCCAGTGACACCCATCGGTGCCAGTGACACCTGTCTGTATCAGTGACACCTGTCTATGCCGGTGACACTGGTCTATGCCGGTGCCGCCTGCAGTCCTGCTTGCCGCAGACGTCCTTGCACCCCCAGGTGGTGAGGGGGTCTGCCTCGGTGCGTGACGCTGACGGGGTGACACCGAGGGGCGAGCGCAGGCAGGCGTTGTGCGGACGTGGAGTCTCAAAGCCGCACAGACGTGCTCACGGGTGTGCGCGTGTCTCTGCCCGGCGCGCGTGTCTCTGTGACATGCGTGTGCACATGTGGGGGGGACACCCGGGCAGTGGGGGAGCCCCAGACCGGGGCCCAGGGTGTGCGTGCAGCCGCAAGGCGGCAGGCGGACTCCGGCAGGTCCGGGGTGGGTGGCTCTCGCCCGGCCGCCTGAGGACATGCGTTTCAGCAGCGCGGGGAAGGGAGGTGCTGTGCACCCCCCAGGCGCAGGCACCCACTGGGGTCACATGCTGAGTTTTTGATGGAAGTGGGGTGCCATGGTCCCGGCACCCTAGGGGCACCTCAGCCTGCAGGTGGACTCCTCACACGAGGCCCACGTCGGTCACCCCCCCACGGCTGCTGTGTCCGCCGCTTACATCGGGCGTTTCTGCCCGGGGCCTTGGTTTCGTCATCTTCTACGTTCATACACTTTGTGATTGATTTGTCTCTTTATTTTTATTCTTCCATTAGACAGCATCCTTTTAAAGAGAATCATTTTATTATTATTTAACTATAAAAGGAACAGCAAGAAAACGAAGGACTCCAAGCCAGTGCTTCTAGTGTATCTATCAGCCAAACATGGGGTGAAAGCGGGTCACCGGCCAGAAGCACACCGAGGCGTGGCTCCGCGGACCCCGGAGCATGGCGGAACCACCCTCTCTGGGCTCGCCCACCTGCACCCGGGGATGCTGGGCCCACGCCCTGGCAGACGGCCCCAGAGGCGGGGAGGCCACCCTGAAGCCCGTCGGGGAGGAAGGAGTTCAGAATTCGTTTCCTTTTCACATTCTCCACTGAAGGAAAACATCTGAATGGGAATAAATGTTTCAAATGGTAGTCTCATGACTCCAAAGCATGTTTGCAATTACTTAGCTTCAGAAAAAGAACTCTTTCAGGCAGGTACGCTTGTTCTTTGTAAAGGACTTAACTGATCACTGGTGATCTGACTTCCACATAGCTTTTATTGACAAGGAAGAGAGCATCTGGAGAAGGTCATCTACCAGCTTGAGTGTAAGAAGGGAGAAAGGGAAAGCGAGTCTCGACACCACCCGCCCAGCTTGCGCGCCCACAGCCAGGAGGTGTTCTGCTGCAGAGCGCGGGAACATCACAGCTCATTTATGTTCCATGTATTTTATAGTTTGGGGTCTTATATCCATGTCTTTAATCCACTTTGAGTTCATTTTTGTGCATGGTGTGAAAGAGTAGCCTAGTTTCACTCTTGCACGTGGCTGTCCAGGTTTCTCAGCACCACTTGTTGAAGAGACCGTCCCCTCTCCAGAGTACAGGTTCTTGGCTCCTTTGTCATAGACTAGCTGTCCATAGATGAGTGGGGTTACCTATGAGCTCCCAATTCTATTCCATTGCTCTGTGTCTCTGTTTCTGTTCCAGCCAGGCTGTTTTGTTTACTATAGCTTTGTTGTGTAGTTTGAAGCCTAGGAGTGTGACAGCACTTACTCAGCGGGCCTGCAGGTAGAGTGGGTGCTGCTCCACGTCCACCTGGGAAACGGCCTCGGACATGGAGGGCACCATGCTGGGAGCAGAGAGGCTCCTGTGCTCAGTGGGGAGAATCTTCATGAAAATTATTCATGAAAGGTCTGATGTCAGTAGAGGCATAGGATGAGAGTCAGTGCCACTTGGAAATGGGGGTCAGGGTGGGACTCGTGGGGTGAGGCCGTCTTGTTTTTCAGGGGGCAGAGTCACTGGTGGAGGTGGCCGGGGTAGCCGGGGGCTGGGTGTCCAGGAGGCCGGATGTCCACTGTGGTGGACCTAGCGTTTCAGGCACGTGAAGAGCCGCCGGACCCCAGCCTGCATCTCCTTGTTCCGGAAGCTGTACACGATGGGGTTGAGGGTGGGTGTCACGAGAGTGTAGAGGGCGGCCACGATCTTGTCCCTCTGGAAGGAGTAGCTGGAAGCCGGGCGAATGTAGGTGTAGATGACTGGGGCATAGTAGAGGGACACCACCATCAGGTGCGAGGAGCAGGTGGAAAAGGCCTTCCTCTTGCCCTCCGCAGAGCGGATGCGCAGGACGGCAGCCACGATGAAGCCATAGGACACACAGGTGAGTGCGAAGTCGCCCACGGCCAGCGTGAGGTCGGCCACGTACACCATCACCTCGTTGACCCGCACGGGGCTGCAGGACAGGGCCAGCAGGGGCGGGATCTCGCAGAAGAAGTGGTCGACGGCGTTGGGGCCGCAGAAGCTCAGCCGTAGGATGAGCCCCGTGTGCACCCCGGAGTTGGCGACGGCCACAGTCAGGACGCCGCCCAGCAGGGCTGCGCAGGTGCGGGGGCTCATGACGGTGCGGTAGCGCAGTGGGTGGCAGACGGCCACGTAGCGGTCGTAGGCCATGGTGGTGAAGAGCACCATCTCGGCGCCCAGGGACCAGGTGAAGACGAAGAGCTGGGCCATGCAGCCCCTGTAGGAGATGGCCCGCCCCGAGGGCAGCATGGCCCCCAGCATCTTGGGCACGATGCTGGTGGTGCAGACGACGTCCACGGCGGCCAGGGCCAGCAGGAGGGTGTACATGGGCGTGTGCAGGGAGGGGCTGCGCACGACGGCCGCCATGATGAGTGTGTTGCCGACAAAGGCCACCAGGTACATGCCCAGGAAGACCACGAACAGGACCCCCCGCAGCTCAGGCCTCGCGCTGAGCCCCAGGATGATGAACTCGGTCACTGTGCTGCTGTTCATCCTGTGCGGTCCAGGTAGGAGAGGGGCATAGGC